ACAAGACTGAGATGGTTTGTTTTTGTAACCACGAGACTGAGATGGTTTGTTTTTGTGCACGAGTCTGAGATGGTTTGTTTTTGTGAACAAGATTGAGATGGTTTGTTTTTGTGAACAAGACTGAGATGGTTTGTTTTTGTAACCACGAGACTGAGATGGTTTGTTTTTGTAACCACGAGACTGAGATGGTTTGTTTTTGTGCACGAGTCTGAGATGGTTTGTTTTTGTGCACGAGACTGAGATGGTTTGTTTTTGTGAACAAGACTGAGATGGTTTGTTTTTGTAACCACGAAACTGAGATGGTTTGTTTTTGTGAACAAGACTGAGATGGTTTGTTTTTGTGAACAAGACTGAGATGGTTTGTTTTTGTGAACAAGACTGAGATGGTTTGTTTTTGTGAACAAGACTGAGATGGTTTGTTTTTGTGAACAAGACTGAGATGGTTTGTTTTTGTGAACAAGACTGAGATGGTTTGTTTTTGTGAACAAGACTGAGATGGTTTGTTTTTGTAACCACGAGACTGAGATGTTGTGTCTTTATTCACACAATTGAGATGTTTTGTATTGGTGCAGTAGGCCTATAATACCGCTTCTTAATATAAAAAACCCACCCCTCCCCCTTTTCTATTCCTCTGACGTCAGTGTTGTTTCAAACCATTTTCTCCAAAGAGCTAAACTGTCAAAACTCCTTGTTTGGTTTCGTTAACTTGTTTTTAGAAAATATTGGTCGCTAAGTCTGCTCTCTGTTGTGGCTGTAAAACTGATTGTTAAATTGTGTTGCTACAGGAATGTTTAAACACCCATTGCCGTTGTTATTGTTTGTCTCCGGCTATGGATGTGATCAGTCTGTGTGGACGTGATCAGTCTGTGTGGACGTGATCAGTCTGTGTGGACGTGATCAGCCTGTGTGGACGTGATCAGTCTGTGTGGACGTGATCAGCCTGTGTGGACGTGATCAGCCTGTGTGGACGTGATCAGTCTGTGTGGACGTGATCAGCCTGTGTGGACGTGATCAGGCTGTGTGGACGTGATCAGCCTGTGTGGACGTGATCAGTCTGTGTGGACGTGATCAGTCTGTGTGGATGTGATCAGTCTGTGTGGACGTGATCAGTCTGTGTGGACGTGAGCTTGTTCTTCTAGAAAAAAAAACCAAATATAGTGAAATCTTCTTTGTTGAATTAAAAAAGGTAGTTTTATTCTATGACATTGACTATCGTCACATTGGAGATGGCGTCTGTGGGTCGTCGAGCGCGAGCTCTTAATACGCCTCCCGCCAACCCCCCTCCCCCATTTAGGCCGACGCCGGGTCTACCCGGGAAGCACGCCGGGAATCCCCCCCCCCGGCCTGGGGGACGTCCAGTCGACTGAAAACGCTGCGTTTAAAGCGTTTGCGGTGCACTCTCCTTGGGTCTGAACGGCTTTGCTTTCTCTCCGGGGGAAAGGTGCTGCGTTACCTCCCCCACCGCCCAGGGAGTAGTACATTGACTATCAAATCACCGCACACATATACACACACTATTAGACCATAAGAATAAAACAAACGTGCCTAATAGAGCTTCTTTACAATTCAATCCTGCTGTGGAATTATCGAGCCCAATCAGCTGTTGATTTGAAATGGTCATGTTGTCCACAGCTGGTCCCATGTCATAGATTATAATAAGAATTCAAAACAACACTCATTAGTGAGAAAAACAAAACCAGTGCACATTTTGATTTCATCCAGATTATTTTCATGCAAAATTTATTGACAATCTATGTTCTGGGCATGAAAACTTCCGTAGAGGTAAACTAAGTCAATTACTGCTGGTTAGCGTACTGCGCCACTACTGCTGGTTAGCGTACTGCGCCACTACTGCTGGCTAGCGTACTGCGCCACTACTGCTGGTTAGCGTACTTCGCCACTACTGCTGGTTAGCGTACTGCGCCACTACTACTGGTTAGCGTACTGCGCCACTACTGCTGGTTAGCTTACTGCGCCACTACTACTGGTTAGCGTACTGCGCCACTTCTTCGCCACTACTGCTGGTTAGCGTACTGCGCCACTACTACTGGTTAGCGTACTGCGCCACTACTACTGGTTAGCTTACTGCGCCACTACTACTGGTTAGCGTACTGCGCCACTACTACTGGTTAGCGTACTGCGCCACTACTACTGGTTAGCGTACTGCGCCACTACTACTGGTTAGCGTACTGCGCCACTACTGCTGGTTAGCGTACTGCGCCACGACTACTGGTTAGCGTACTGCGCCACTACTACTGGTTAGCGTACTGCGCCACTACTACTGGTTAGCGTACTGCGCCACTACTACTGGTTAGCGAACTGCGCCACTACTACTGGTTAGCGTACTGCGCCACTACTACTGGTTAGCCTACTGCGCCACTACTACTGGTTAACCTAGTGTGCCACTACTACTGGTTAGCGTAATACGAGAAAACAAAAGCAAAATAATTGTGTAAATCATGAAAAATTCTAGATGCAGAAATCGATAACTTAAAGAAATAGTATATCTGTGCATTATCAGAAATCTTATGTTTTTGAAAATTATTCATTTCGATAAGACATCTAATGACAGTGTTAATTAGTATCATTCAGTGTCAATTAGTATCATTCAGTGTCAATTAGTATCATTCAGTGTCAATTAGTATCATTCAGTGTCAATTAATATCATTCAGTGTCAATTAGTATCATTCAGTGTCAATTAGTATCAGTCAGTGTCAATTAGTATCATTCAGTGTCAGTTAGTATCATTCAGTGTCAATTAGTATCAGTCAGTGTCAATTAGTATCAGTCAGTGTCAATTAGTATCAGTCAGTGTCAATTAGTATCAGTCAGTGTCAATTAGTATCAGTCAGTGTCAGCACCATCGCAAAATGATCAAAACATATCGTTGGTAAATATTACAGAAAAACATTCAATACACATGGCTTATAATTGTGTAACTTCACTTTGTTTCAGACCACGTAACATTGCAAACTGGTCAATTTACCGGACAACCGGTTTAGCAAATCAATTTTCAGACTTCAACCGGAAAGAGGTCTAGAAGATGTCACATGTTAGTGCTCCGTAAAAGCAAACATCTTGGCACCCCGTTAAAGCAAACATCTTGGCACCCCATAAAAAGCAAACATTTTGGCACCCCGTAAAAGCAAACATGTCAATTATTGACTAACACGACAAGTTCATGGTCACTGCTGGTCACATACATCAATCCACAATCATTCACTGCCACCCCCCACGGCTGTGTTAAGGTGTCGTCTTGCGGCCCCACCAAAATCTTCTCAAACTGACCCTCTGGGCTCAAGCGTATGAGACCCCGTGAGTCGGACACTAGGATTCTCCCTGACGAGTCACAGGCCACGCCGTTGGGTTCTTGTAGATTCTGCGATCCGTAAAGACTGAATCGGAACTTGATGACACCTGAAAAATAGAAGATCTGTTTGATTTGACCGTGATTACTGACTCTGAACTTCATTTCGTCTGGACTATAAAATATTTGTTTAAATTTGACATGATTTTTTTTAGAGGAATGTTTGCAGGTGAGCTAATAGAACGAATGAAGAGCTCAAAAATTGATATTTAGAAAATAAGCTGAAAGTAGCAAATACCAATTATAGATCACATAACATCATGAATTATAAAACATATAACATCATGAATTATAAAACATAACATAAAGAAATAAAGAAAAAATAACATCATAAATTATAGAGCATGTAATATTATGAGTTTAAAAAAATATAACATCATTAATTATAAAATATATAATATAATGAATTATAAAACATATAACATTATGAATTATAGAGCACATCACATCATAAATTATAGAAGATATACCATCATGAATTATAAAACATATCACATCATGAATTATAGAACATATAATATAATGAATTATAAAACATGTAACATTATGAATTATAAAGCATATAACATCATGAATTATAGAACATAAAATGTCATTAAATATAGGACATATAACATCATGAATTATAGAGCAATACAACTTAATAAAATGAGTAAAACAGAGTATGGTTAAACCTGAAAAAATAAACGCAACAAAACAGCGAACGTGTTTTACTCATTTTATTTTGTACTAACCTGATTGCAGTCTCTCCCCTTATTACCAATACAACTTAAGCAGTAAAAATAAAATACAATTTTAAAAGAATAAACTACGATTTAGATTTCAACATGAAATGAACACAGAATTGAACACAGTACAACATTGGGACAAATGATTGCAGGTTATTTAAATATTAGCCAGCCTCCTTTCCCTGAACCTAGGTTATTTTTGTGGGTCATGGTATTGGTATTCATTTTCTGAGTTTACTATGAATATTAGTAGTGCACAAATTTACAGTTTAAATTTGTTTAGAACATTGTTTACCTTTCATTAATGATATTGATAACAAACAATTAAATTTTCGTGAACAGCTCAATAATTCTTCAGTTTTTAAAACAAATCAAATTAATTGATCTTCAAAAAATATGTTTCAGTTGGCCAATGAGTATTTTTTCAGTTTTTATTATAATAATTTATTAAGTGAGTGGGAAGTTGGATGGCTGTGAAGATAAAGAAATGTGTTCAAATTTTGGTTTGGAGTTCATTACTTAGCATAATCCAGAAAATCTGAGCAATTCTAGATCTGAATTCCAATGTGGCATTGAAGCACAATTGACTCAACTCCCGTCGTTGACAAGAAAACGATTTTTTTTTCCGCCTAAAAAATCACACGCCTTTTGATTTTTGGTCACAATGCAACAAACATAGGAGTTTTTTGGTCACAATGCAACAAACATAGGAGTTTTTTGGTCACAATGCAACAAACATAGGAGTTTTTTGGTCACAATGCAACAAACATAGGACTTTTTTGGTCACAATGCAACAAACATAGGAGTTTTTTGGTCACAATGCAACAAACATAGGAGTTTTTTGGTCACAATGCAACAAACATAGGACTTTTTTGGTCACAATGCAACAAACATAGGAGTTTTTTGGTCACAATGCAACAAACATAGGAGTTTTTTGGTCACAATGCAACAAACATAGGAGTTTTTTGGTCACAATGCAACAAACATAGGAGTTTTTGGGGTGGTTTCCCTTCTCATATCAATTTTGTTATTTGGATATTCAGAAGCTGGCGGAGGCAAATCTCCCTTAACTCCCCTGGTTTACCCTTCCCTTTAGACGTTGAATGTCTTTGGCTTCTTCGGGATTAGCTCTGCCCTGAATTTTCATGCGTTTATACTCCTAGTTCCACTTCTTGGCCTCATCATAGAAAGGAGTCGAGTTTGCAAAACACCTGAGTCATCTTCAAATGTAGATATAGAGATGCTTGACAATCCTGCTACTACTTTACGGACAGTTAGCTTGAATTGAAATTCGGCCTTACCACTCAAGTGTATCATCATCTTAATTTTTACCCCCAATTCTTACATCCCCCCCCCCCCGCGTTTAAAAAAAAACCAACAAACAAAAACAAACAAAAACAAAAACCCAAAGGCTATTTTTTCTTCTAATGTGTTACGGAGAGGGCCAATGCTTACTTTACGGACAGTTAGCTTGAATTGAAATTCGGCCTTACCACTCAAGTGTATCATCATCTTAATTTTTACCCCCCATTCTTACATCCCCCCCCCCCGCGTTTAAAAAAAAACCAACAAACAAAAACAAACAAAAACAAAAACCCAAAGGCTATTTTTTCTTCTAATGTGTTACGGAGAGGGCCAATGCAGCCTCGATAACAAACTACATGTATAGATCCATACTATAGTACATCTATGGTCTACACTACGTTGTCTTAACTCACCGTCCAGCGAAAAGCCAGTCACAAACCCAAGTTCTCTGTCGGAGACAACGATCATTGCCGACGGCGCAACGCACAGGTAAGCCGGGTACGCTAGCAATGGGAACCCATCGGAGACGAGAACAAATCGTTTGATCACCTGCAGAAGAAGTCGGACAATAAAAACAAAATGTTTTGGCCGTTTCGATATTTACCATTTGGGATACCGTTGAGTCCACTCAAATTATAAGGTGTAATATCCTGGATTAAAATTTGATCAAGAAGTCGGTCATTGTGTGGTCTCCATGGGAGATATCATAGATTACAGTTTAAGACTTTAAACTGATCAATTTGATCAAGAAGTCGGTCATTGTGTGGTCTCCATGGGAGATATCATAGATTACAGTTTAAGACTTTAAACTGATCAAATTTTTTTGATCTAAGGGCCGCATCAAAATTATTTTCGTCTTGGCGGGCCGCGTGATAATTTTTGTAGGGAACGAGAGCTCAAGATCATACATTGACCAAATGTGTTTTTAAACTGAACATCATTAATTAGTATAACATGGGGAAAATTACTAGATAATTCTATAGATGAAAATTAAACACAATTGATTATATTTTTAAAATAGCATCAAATAATTACATATATTTAATTTAAATTGTAAAATTTTGGGGAAAAATCATCCTTTGCACATAATGCACAAAAACGTTTCATGCCAGAATTGGTCCCATCAGCCATCTGCGTACTCATTGACGGAATCAGAAATAGAAGGAATTCGACGATTGAAGTGTTCTTCATCGATCTCGACAGACGAAATAACATATTTAATATGCAATTATAGTTGATATGTTACGAAAGGATATTTAAATGTGAATTTTTAATATTTTTTGTGTGCATCTTTTCTACATGACTAAATGGATCGGGACCAAACTTTGGCTTTCTTGTCCTTCATTATCTAAAAGGAAAAATTAATAGGATTAGAGCTTTAAAGTGTATTCCTTTCGTGGCCCCTTTCTCCATTTTTTTTCAATATAAAAGCCTAAAAGAGCTATAGATAAGTTAAACCATTGTATTGTAGCCTGTGTGGTGAGCTTTTTTTTTCATTCACCCTGCGTGGTGTAAAGACATGGCATCTAACTCTTACCCCCCCCCCCGCCATTGTTTTATTTACTTATGTCACTAATGAATTTTGTAACACGTGCTGACATTTTATCTGACATTCCCCCGACGTTCTAGATTGGAAAAGTTTGCCTACTGGGAACGAGATCCCACCTGGGAATCTGATACCATCAAGGAACGAGTTACAATCAGGGAACGGGAAAATAAGGAGGAAAATAAATCCCATCGAAAACTGGATCCCACAGGGAACGGAATCCCATTAGAGAATTGGATCTATCGGAAACGAGATACATTTAATTTCTTTAGAGGCGTGTTTTTACATGGCCTTTAAATGTTAGCTAAAAGGCAATATATGTTTTCTTTCTTTTTTTTTCGGAAAGCAATCTCGGGCAACGCCGGGTACTTTGGCTAGTTAATTACAATAAGATGATAATTAACATATAACATCTGAGAAGCATTTACTCGCTACGATTGGAGCTAGTAAAACATTATTCCAGTTTCCTGAAGCTCTTGTGGGCCGCATTAATCGTAGTTTTCCCACATATTGTGTCATATTAAACTTCACGTTTTACTTCGCTTTAAGAATATTGAAACCAAAATGATTTCTACAAGTTTCCAAACTTCATGGGAACATCTTGACTTTCAATCCATAGCATTCCATTTAGAGACTAAAATAAAACAAATCTAAATCAATCTCACCTTTCCTCTTAAATTAATTAAGTCCACGCTGGGTGAATTACTACCACCGCTGGCCACTAACACAGACCTGTCCAGTGCGGCCAGGCCAGTATATTTCCTTGATGTGGCGAACGTCGTCAAAGCCATGAGCTTGGGGGTCGTCTCAACACGCGAACAAAGAAAAAAGACATCGATCACACGTAGTTCGAACAAAGATCACATACACATCACGAATAGATGACAAGCAGATAACACATAGATAACACACATAGATCATATACACATCACGAATAGATGACAAGCAGATAACACATAGATAACACACATAGATCACATACACATCACGAATAGATGACAAGCAGATAACACATAGATAACACACATAGATCACATACACATCACGAATAGATGACAAGCAGATAACACATAGATAACACACATAGATCACATACACATCACGAATAGATGACAAGCAGATAACACATAGATAACACACATAGATCACATACACATCACGAATAGATGACAAGCAGATAACACATAGATAACACACATAGATCACATACACATCACGAATAGATGACAAGCAGATAACACATAGATAACACACATAGATCACATACACATCACGAATAGATGACAAGCAGATAACACATAGATAACACACATAGATCACATACACATCACGAATAGATGACAAGCAGATAACACATAGATAACACACATAGATCACATACACATCACGAATAGATGACAAGCAGATAACACATAGATAACACACATAGATCATATACACATCATATATAGATCACACGTAGATCAAGGGTGCTTGATTGGCCCAATGAGATCAAATTACTCATGAAGACCTCATTCACGGGCTAAGGCTTAAGATGATAGGATAAAAAACTTTAATTCCGTTGTCCATCTATCCCTTTGGTCAAAGTTTTCGTATGCATATTTTCTATTGATTTTCTTTTCTATCTATATTTTTGTCTTTCACTGTTTGATTATCCATTCTCTTGTTGCATCATCCTGAATGTAACTTTGTTGCATCCCCCTGAATGTAAGTTTGTTACACACCCCTGATTGTAAGTTTGTTGCATACCCCTGAATGTAAGTTTGTTGCATCCCCCTGAATGTAAGTTTGTTGCATACCCCTGATTGTAAGTTTGTTGCATCCCCCTGAATGTAACTTTGTTGCATCCCCCTGAATGTAAGTTTGTTGCATACCCCTGATTGTAAGTTTGTTGCATCCCCCTGAATGTAACTTTGTTGCATCCCCCTGAATGTAACTTTGTTGCATCCCCCTGAATGTAAGTTTGTTGCATACCCCTGATTGTAAGTTTGTTGCATCCCCCTGAATGTAAGTTTGTTGCATACCCCTGAATGTAACTTTGTTGCATCCCCCTGATTGTAAGTTTGTTGCATCACCCTGGATGTAAGTTTGTTGCATCACCCTGAATGTAAGTTTGTTGCATCACCCTGAATGTAATCTCGTTGCATCACCCTGAATGTAAGTTTGTTGCATACCCCTGAATGAAAGTTGTTGCATCACCCTGAATGTAAGTTTGTTGCATCACCCTGGATGTAAGTTTGTTGCATCACCCTGAATGTAAGTTTGTTGCATCACCCTGAATGTAATCTCGTTGCATCACCCTGAATGTAAGTTTGTTGCATCACCCTGAATGTAAGTTTGTTGCATCACCCTGAATGTAAGTTTGTTGCATCACCCTGAATGTAAGCTTGTTACATCCCTTTAAAGTAAGCTTGTTACATCCCCTAAAAATAAGCTTGTTATATCCCCTTAAACTAAGCTTGTTACATCCCCTGAAAGTAAGCTTGTTACATCCCCTAAGAGTAAGCTTGTTACATCCCTGAAATTTCTCTTGCTGCATCTCACAGAAAGTTTGTTTATTGCATCTCCTTAAGGCTAGCTTGTTACATCCCCTTTAGTAAGCTTGGTGTTTTGTTGCAAGTTAAATCTTTTACTTTTAAATCTTTTTACTCCCTACCTTGTAAAATCCGATCTTCTGCGATAAGGGTAGACTAACCGCGATCAGGTTCTCTCTCACCTGGGTCACGGCCCATGGCTTTCCAGGAAGCAAAAGTCCATGATCTTTTTCTTTAATCAAATGGAACGCCTTAATTTTCTGGTTGGCCCAATCTGTTGCAATGATGATATTATCCGGATATGTCACTATGACCCCACGCAGTTTAGGCATCGTTTGATCATCTTCAAACAGGGTATCGTTAATTCTTAGCTTAAAGATAACAGACGCTGAAGCACGCGTAGTGGCGCTGGGTTGCCGTGCCGAGCTTGTGACGGCGTCTGTTTCAGGGCACGCGTCTTGCACACAACTTGCAGCGGCACTGGTAGTTGACCTGTGGGTCATGTCGGTGTCATCTCTACTAGTATGATGCCCAGTTAGATTCCAAATCTGATCTTCCGAAGCATCAGACCTTGATGCGGGTCTTGATTTGGCAGGAAGTGTCTTCGGAGAGTTCAAGGCCATGATTGTTGCATTACCCCTCAAATCTGAACTCTCGGTGTTTTTCAAATGTGTTGCGCTAGGCGGGGTCTGGTCACTTTTGTTAGTTGGTAGATTCATACATGCTGGTGGGATCTCAGATGTTTCATGGTATAGCGTGATCTCAACTTCCCCTACACTTAAGGAAGAAATGGACGTGGCCTCAAAACCAATATGAATATTGGAGAGTCTTGAGACAAAACTTTCATAGCCTCTAATGACATCTTCATTGTCATTCATGGCGCCTAAAAGTGTAGGATCGGTCAAAATCTCGAAGTCAGATGATGCACCGACCCTGGACACGAAGCTGTCAATGTTATTTATAAGTTGTTCTATTTTTAGATCATACTGTCTACTTCGCGTTGCAATTCTATTTTTTTCATGCTTGAAATCATGGTCAAGGTTCTCAAGCAGTCTCCTTTCTTCCTGTTTTAACATTTTGTCCAAATGATTTACTCGTTTCCGGATGGCCTGTTCTACAGCAGATTTTCGTTTGCTGAAATCATCCATCGCCTTTCGATTAAATTCTTTGAGACTTGAGGATCTATTACAACTCTCCAACAGGTTTGCTATTAAAATCTCAGTCGCGGCTCGGCGGCCTTGCGCGGCTTCCTCTATCGTCATTACTTGGCCACATCCTCTGTGTGAGATGCCTGAACAGAGGTGACAGATTGCAGTGTTGCACTCAGTGCAGTACAAGTCTCGCTCGTTGCCAGCGTGCACGTCACACGGATGACGTAAAGTAGTTTCACGTCTGCTGGTGGAAGTGCTGGCCGCGCCAGGCTTAATGGCATTACATTTCATCAACTCTTTAAGAAAAAAGTCCGTCTTCAGCAGAGAGGCCCATTCCGACGGCGGGGCTTTTGGATTTGGGCTCATGATGAACTGCCTGCACACTGGACACTTGAACCCCTTACGGGTCGGTTCTGTTTGATTTTGAATGTGGTCTTGGAGGCATTGTTCACAAAACCTGATGACAGATACAGAAAAGTTATATGCAATATTGCGCCAAAACTTACATTACTGAAACCACTGCATCTTGAACGATGTATTGCTCCAACCGTCAAACGTTTCCAGTAGGTGTACATTGTTTTTATTAGTGCTTAAGTGGTCGTCATTTTGGAATCGTGTTTGAAAATAGGTGATAGAGCACTGCCGAGAGAGATTTAATAAGATGGCACCAAGTAACATTGTTATAGGCTGGGGTAGCGCTATATAAGACCCCTTATTATTATTATTATTATTATTATTATTATTATTATTGCTGCCTATTGTTACGAAATTTCACAGTTCTGAAAGTGTTAACAGTGTCAACTTAAGAGGAAGTCTGGTCGACCGACCAGTAGCGACCGACCAGTAACGACCGACCAGTAAGTGTTTAAATAAATTGGAATAACACACGTGTTCTCCTAGAAGATGCTGCATTCGTTCCTACAAAGTCTGCGACCAACATCCATTAATCGTAACATCAGTGCCATCTCCGTTGTTTGCCGAGTGTTGAAGGTTATAGGTACATTTATGTATGGGTTTCAGATTGGACAACGCTGGCCAACAGAGCCAGGATGGTCAACTGCAGTCAAACAGTTTTGGCCACTGTATTCCGTGTTACTAATTAATAATTATTTATTTATTTTTTTTAAATTTTGTTGTACCCCTACTACGCTACTGGTTCTTTAACACGGTTGAAATGTTTGAAAGAAATGGTCCATAAAAAACAAACAAAACAATGAACCGTTTTGTTCAGTTTTTTGTTTAAAGACATTATGTGCGACGTTATCGCTTAATTTAGGGTGAGTGTTACAATCAGTCGGCGTGGGTGTTACAATCAGTCGGCGTGGGTGTTACAATCAGTCGGCGTGGGTGTTACAATCAGTCGGCGTGGGTGTTACAATCAATCGGCGTGGGTGTTACAATCAGTCGGCGTGGGTGTTACAATCAGTCGGCGTGGGTGTTACAATCAGTCGGCGTGGGTGCTACAATCAGTCGGCGTGGGTGCTACAATCAATCGGCGTGGGTGTTACAATCAATCGGCGTGGGTGTTACAATCAGTCGGCGTGGGTGTTACAATCAGTCGGCGTGGGTGTTACAATCAGTCGGCGTGGGTGTTACAATCAGTCGGCGTGGGTGTTACAATCAGTCGGCGTGGGTGTGACAATCAGTCGGCGTGGGTGTTACAATCAATCGGCGTGGGTGTTACAATCAGTCGGCGTGGGTGTTACAATCAGTCGGCGTGGGTGTTACAATCAGTCGGCGTGGGTGTTACAATCAGTCGGCGTGGGTGTTACAATCAGTCGGCGTGGGTGTTACAATCAGTCGGCGTGGGTGTTACAATCAGTCGGCGTGGGTGTTACAATCAGTCGGCGTGGGTGTTACAATCAGTCGGCGTGGGTGTTACAATCAGTCGGCGTGGGTGTTACAATCAGTCGGCGTGGGTGTTACAATCAGTCGGCGTGGGTGTTACAATCAGTCGGCGTGGGTGTTACAATCAGTCGGCGTGGGTGTTACAATCAGTCGGCGTGGGTGTTACAATCAATCGGCGTGGGTGCTACAATCAATCGGCGTGGGTGCTCCAATCAGTCGGCGTGGGTGTTACAATCAGTCGGCGGGGGTGCTACAATCAGTCGGCGTGGGTGCTACAATCAGTCGGCGTGGGTGCTACAATCAGTCGGCGTGGGTGCTACAATCAATCGGCGTGGGTGCTACAATCAATCGGCGTGGGTGCTACAATCAATCGGCGTGGGTGTTACAATCAGTCGGCATGGGTGTTACAATCAATCGGCGTGGATGCTACAATCAGTCGGCGTGGGTGTTACAATCAGTCGGCATGGGTGTTATAATCAATCGGCGTGGGTGCTACAATCAGTCGGCGTGGGTGTTACAATCAGTCATCAATAGGAAGTTTTGTCCCTGCTTATGTGATACAGTTCACATACAATGGGGTAAGAATGCGATATAGCACTTCCACGAACAACACGCCTAGAGAATTTATCACAGTATCCAAGTTTAAATTAGGTTAATAGGTTACGGCCATCCTCATGATAGTAACCTGATTATGATCATGATAGAGATGATAACGTGTGCATGACAGCCACGTTACAAGATGACAACAACATTAAAATCTGAATACCAAATGACAGTGAGACAACCACATTGAAACATGACAACCACTTTACAAAATGACAAACCATTTAGAACTGGGGCTATTGCATTACAGATAGATGATTTACAAAGCAAGACAGAAAATAAGAGGAAGAAGCAGTGGTCAAGGAAATGGGTTTGGGGGGAGGGGGGGGGCTGGTCCGCCCCGAGCGGCACTTATTTCCTCATATTCAGGAGAGTCATTTTCGGCCAGATGCAGAATTGGGTTCTTTTTTTTTTCCTTGGAAAGGAGCGTTAAAAAGATTGGCCACTGTAAGAAAGGAATTAATTAAGTTTGTAGTGACAAGACACATTAATGGAAATATTTTCAGGTTAGGAAATGATATTCTTTTAAAAACTGAGCAATGATCCCCCACTAAAACTTGAGCAATTAACAGTAAAAATAAAATAAATCATCTCACCTATGTCAACAGCTCAGCAAACATCTAATGAATCATCTCACCTATGTAAACAGCTCAGTAAATATCTAATAAATCATCTCATCTATGTAAACAGCTTAGTAAACATCTAATTAATATCTCACCTATGTAAAGAGCTCAGTAAACATCTAATAAATCATCTTACCTGTGTAAACAGCTCAGAGTTTTCGGTTCTTGAAAAATCTCCAAGCAAATGGAACATGTTAAAAAATCCTCTTGTAATTTCTGATTCTCAGACATGGTGTTTGAGGTGGTGTTAATGGTGTTTGAGGTAGTGTTGATGGTGTTTTCGTTGCTGTTGATTGTTGATGGTGTTTTCGTTGCTGTTGATTGTCGATGGTGTTTGCGTTGCTGTTGATTGTTGATGGTGTTTGCGTTGCTGTTGGTGTTGATGTTGTTCAGTGTTAGGCTATCCCGAGCTGAAATTGAGAACATGTAAGTAACACAGACGTCGCTGTATCAGCCTTTTCATGCCAAAGATATGGTGGGGAGATTACCATGTAATCAAATGATGTTATTGACGTCGTCATTCTAATTTTAGTAAGTGACGCTTCACAGTTTTTTGTTACTTATCTGTAATCATTAAACAGTTAACCAACATAAATTAGATACATGGTGTCCACACCAGTGGCGAAGTTAGGGTCTGTGCCGCCCGGGGCGGGCAAGATTTGTTGCCACAAAGAATAAAAAAGCTTAGCAGTTTGGTCAAAGATTTACTTGGGGTCAAGCACGGTCCAGATTAACTCGGTGTCAAGCACGGTCCAGATTTACTCGGTGTCAAGCACGGTCCAGATTTACTCGGTTTCAAGCACGGTCCAGATTTACTTGGGGTCAAGCATGGTCCAGATTTACTCTGGGTCAAGCATGGTCCAGATTTACTCGGTGTCAAGCAGGGCCCAGATTTACTCGGTGTCAAGCACGGTCCAGATTTACTCGATGTCAAACACGGTCCAGATTTACTGGGGGTTGAGCATGGAGGTCGACGTTATTATCAAAATAGCAACACCAACAGTTATTTAAAAAACTTAATGCCGTTCAAATAGGCCTTCTGGTATGCTTTTTAATTTGTTAATAACAAATAGCTTGGAGATTGAATCAACATTTACTTAGACATGTACATCTTTTGTGATTACAAACACACACATGTAATATTCAAATCGCAATTATCTTATTTAATTATAATAAATTATATGGTAGCATAATGTAATTAAACCAATAGTAAACATTTTAAAATATGATATTTCCGAAATTCAAAAAAAAAATAAAATATTTTTTAAACATTTTAAGAGGTTGCACAGGTGAGGTAAACCCTAAAAAATTAAAAACAGCAAAAACAACAACTACAAAAAACAAAACAAAAACAAATGCATTGTAAAGAACCCCGTGTCACCGAAAAGCACCAAGATAGAGTAGCAAAAAGAAAAAACAATTAAAAAGCTAAAATATAGAATCATAGAGAACAGGTCCAAACGAAATTTTGTTTACGAAATCATTTAAAAAACGTTTGATGTGCATCTTAAAACATTTCATGGTGGTCACTTCCAACTAGGATCACCATTGAACTCAACCCTCTTTGAAGAACTCATCCTTCAGCACAGAGTAGAGCTTAGGACCACGAGTAATTTAGGGTTCCATTCAGCACATAACAGTGCTTTGGGACATAGGTAATTCACCTTTCCATTCAGCTTAAATTTTTTTTAATAATTATTATAAGAAATGAATCGATGTGGGCTCGAAGTGCATATTTAGTCCTCTCTAAAGCTATTACGTCAACAGAGTATGATTAGCCATTTATGGTGTCTAGAAATGACGATGCAGTCAAGACTTCAAATTTTGATGCCAAGTAACCCTCCATCGAATGATAGCATGTCTACATTCCTGTTTCGTAAATCCCGTCTCAAACGGTTGTGCTAGGTTTTCAATTACCCGTAGTTTTCTGTCAAACTACGCGCTAAGCTCCTCCAGTAGTTTATCTCAAAATGTCGAAAGCGGTCCATGATACATTTTTCAATACAATTTTTTGACTCACTAACTGAACCTGTGCTTTAAGTTCTAACACCGTAACGCTGGAGGCCGTGCTGAATTTCTCTTATAAATCTCTCAGGCAAATGTCAAGTGTGGCTCGGCGATCATCCGCTGCTTCCGCGATTGTCATGACTTGCCAAAGCCTCGATGGTAAATGCCCGGACAGAGATGAGCGAATTTTATGACATGGCCACAGCCCAGATGTTAAATGTCTGGACAGAGATGGGCGATTGTCATGACATATCCACAGCCTTGATGGTAAATGCCCTGACAGAGATGGACGATTGTCATGACATGGTCACAGCCCAGATGGTAAATGCGTGGACAGAGATTGGCGATTGTCATGAAATGGCCACAGCGTTGATGGTAAATGCCCGGACAGAGATGGGCGATTGTCATGATTTGGCCACAGCCTCGATGGTAAATGCGTGAACAGAAATGGCAAATTTTAGAAGAGTGATCGACACAACACAAATCTCGCTCTTGTTCTGGGTGCAATTCACACCAGTGACCCAAAGCAGGCTCAAGTGTGCTCTCAGCAACGTCAACTTCATTGGTATTGTTGTTAATTTCAACCAGGTCTTTGGTACAAAATTCTGTCTTCATCAAAGAAGCCCGTTCTGATTTGGGTGTCAGCAGATTGAGCTTTTAATCAACTCTCTGCACACTGAACAATGAATTCAAAAAGTCGAAAAAGATTGGCTTTTGTTGATGTGGTCATGTAGACTGTAGACATTGGGGAAAAAAACCTGACCAAAAATATAGTAGCATTATACAATCATTGTAGCATTGTAAATATGTAGCCTTATACGTTTGTAGAATCAGACATTTTTAGCATCCTGCATTTTAGCATGATACGTTTGTAACATAATATATATGTAGCAATCATTTAAGCCATTCATTTAAAGATTTTTGTATTAGTTTGTGTTAACTCTCAGCCCCCTGTATTTACTGAGTGACAGGTATGACATCGTCTAATCCGCCTCGACTGGTATTTCCGATCAGTAATGGGAATGTTAAGCACTAAAGGATATCAGTCTCACTGTTATGTCACATGTGTAGGCCTAATGTGTAGCCGCCGCCACTTGTTTCACCTTTTGTTTTTCTTTGATATCGACTCCCCGAGTAAATGTGTTGTCTCAATCCCAACCCACCACGCCCTTGATTGGGAAAAGAGAATTAGTCTAATTTATACTATTATGCGTCACTTGATGGCTAACAAGACCAAAAAATTTTTTTATGTTCCATACTCACTAATGACTTCTTTGGGAGCTGTAACACACGTTTCTTCAATGTAACACTAATAACAATATCTCCACATTTTCATAACTGCCACTAAACCATTTGAGGACTCATTAGATTAGCATCATGACTTTTATTGAATCACAATGAACTCATAATAAAATATCATCTCTGACAATCAGAGTCAAAATGTCATTCTTCATGTATTTCCTCTTCTTCTCCCAGTACACCATTAAGATGCTGTACAAATAACTGTATTTAGTAGATTATCGTAGCAAGAGTTATATTGAAGATATCCGCAGCAGCTGTCATCTTGAGACCGTTAAAACTCTCTCTCTCTCTATCACTTCATTCCCTCACTTCCTGTTATTTCTATTTTTTACAAAAACAATACATTATTTTTATGGAGCAAAATTGATATCTAAATATTAAATATGTGACAGGAGCATTAAGTTGTTTGTTTTTGTTTTTGCTTTAGAGGACTACAACTAGATCCAGCTGAAAAAAAATGTTGAAAAGATGATTTTCCTTGTCACAGGTGTTTCTGACAGTGATTGATAAATTTGATTTATCATATTGGCAGGAAATGAAATAACGAATTTTTTTGTGGTGGTTTATTGACGTAATGATTTTGTATTTTCTAAAATGTTAAAGGTCTAGGCTAGGACCTTATCAAAGGGTGGTTAGTAGACCCCTCAGCCGACGCCACGCGCCGAATACGCCGCTGAATTTTCGTCCGCCAAAAATCCGCCGGAAAATATGCGCCGCGCCGCATTAGCCGCCGTAGTTCGTCCGCCGTAAATCCACCGATAAATGAACGAGTCGCCGTAACGTAATGTTTTTGCTTTCATTTTTGTTTAATTCATGACAATTACAAACTGATATTTTAAGTGCCTATCAGGTATTGAGTGACAGAAACTGAATGAATGGAATGCATTCATGCACTGTATTAGTAGGACAGCATATAAAACTGTTAATTTTTGCTATTGTTTGAAATAATCAAACTTTTTCTGAAGTATTGTAAAAGTGTTTTATTGCTGAAGTTTTATTACCTCATTATTGGCCAGGCTTCAGCCAAATTTCAGCCGAATATTTCGTAATCAGCCGAACATCAGCCGCAAATGTCAATTTAGGGAGTAATCCAGCTAATCCGGATATCCGCCAAAAAATTATGTCATGCAGCCAAAATTTAAAAAAAAAAATTCGGCTGGCAGGTCTAATGGTTAGCTATGTCCTCATAGGCATCTGGACCTCAAATAAACGCAGGTAAGAATTAACTGTAAAAAAAATGCGTAAATGAAAATTTAAAAAAAATATATTTTTTTTACTTGAGTTCGAGATACGTGGACCATCTAGAACTCTGAAAGGCAGCGTCCTTAAGGGACTTGGACCACTCTAAACCTATGAGAGCCAACGTCCTTAGGTGACTTGGACCTCTCTAAACCTCTGAGAGCCAACGTCCTTGGGTGACTTGGACCACTTTAAACATCTGAGAGCCAACGTCCTTAGTTATGCCAAAGAGAAACATAATTGTTGTAACTTATGTCCTTAACATATTACACATAAAAGTTGTACAATTATTTACAATCGTGTAAGCCAATCAGGGTTTTTGGTTCATGGGATATCTTGAAACAAATAGAACTTCCCCTGAAAATCCTTTGATCGGCCATTTTGGATGTCACTATCAGCATTCCCGTGTTGTCAATCTATTCCGATTAAATACTTGAACAAGGCGGGCATCTTCTTGGTGATAGGCGGGCATCTTCTTGGTGATAGGCGGGCATCTTCTTGGGGATAGGCGGGCATCTTCTTGGTGATAGGCGGGCATCTTCTTGTTGATAGGCGGGCATCTTCTTTGTGATAGGCGGGCATCTTCTTGGTGATAGGCGGGCATCTTCTTGGTGATAGGCGGGCATCTTCTTGGTGATAGGCGGGCATCTTCTTGGTGATAGGCGGGCATCTTCTTGGTGATAGGCGGACAACTTCTTTGTGATAAAACCCTTATCAAAGCCTGACAGATATGTGAGTGAAATCGACGGGCAGGCAACTCAATGACACTATCGATATCCCAACGACACATCAATTGTTGTATATCTCTTATGTTATATATGTTATTACAAAGTGTTTTCCTATCAGATTGTGACAAAACACGGGGATCTTCAGCCTGGAAGTCGTGTGTCCTGTGCTAAACTCGGCAAATGATTGGAAATGAAAACAAGGAAATTGAGATA